ATCTTCTTCTCAAGAACCACTTGGCCAGGAAAGCTGAAACTTATGTGAGAGCATCCTTTGGTAGTGTACATATAAAATTGTTAAAATCATGACCCTAGGGCATAGGGCGGGGCCACAATGGGGAATCCAAGTTTTACATAGAAATATATATAGAACAAATCTTTTAAAAAGATCTGCATCACCCAAGTTACTCAGGTGAGCGATGTGGCCCATGGGCCTCTTGTTTCAGTCATCATCAATTCCCTTGGCTACCAACAGAAGAATGCGTGACATCCTTTCCCTTGACTACCAGCAGAAGACCCCATTACATTTCCTCTTGGCTACCAAAAGAAGAATCAATTACATTTGATTCCTTGGCTACCAGCAGATGAATCCATTACATCCGTTCCACTTGGCTACCAGCAGAAGAATCCGTTACATTTGATTCCTTGGCTACCAGCAAAAGAATCCATAAGCGTCATGGCTTTTCTTATGTATCATTTAACTCTGGTGTACCTGGACTTCTTACGGACTGTGAACCGAATTTTGCTAGAAGCTCGCTGCTGATCCTGTTATCTTCCAGGGTCCGTGGCCAATAATTGGGCTTATGTCATTCTATGAACCTTCTACATCATTCACTGTTGAAAAAGTCGATGTAGTTCATGGTCCTGGTAATACATCGTTACCTGCTCATTGCAATGCAGGTATCATTGTATATCATAGAATATCATTGTATATCATTGAATATTGTTGCATATCATTGAATATCGTTGTTTATCATTGAATATCGTTGTATCATTGAATATCATTGAATATTGTTGTATCATTGGATACCATTGAATATCATTGAATACCATTGCATATCGTTGAATATCGTTGCAAATCATTGAATATCATTGAATATTGTTGTATTGTTGCATATCATTGAGTGTCATTGAATATCATTGCAAATCATTGAATATCATTGAATATTGTTGTATCATTGAATATCATTGAATATTATTGCATATCATTGAATATCCTTGAATACCACTGAACTATCATTGTACACATTTAGTAGCAGTTATTCAATATACACTTTGTGTATATCATTGCATTGATACTTTATGTACATCATTGTATTGATACCTTGAGTACATCATTGTATTGATAATTCATTTTGACTATTGATCAATAAAGCCATGACAAAAACTGCCAATCACTCTTAATCTATTTTGTCTATTTTAATCCAACAGGCTAACCCCATTTGCCCAATTCCCAGGGGATATAGATAGCACCGATGCTCTACCAGCTACTCCTCACATTAAACTCATTAATTTCTCTCTCTAATTTGACGTGCAATTTTCTGTTATCAAAATTCTTCTTGACCAGTGCTTGATAATTACACTCATGGGAGAGGTAGGATTTGTCTAACATACATTATATTTGTTATAGATTGCTGTCACGTATATGCTAAAAAAAATAAGTATTTTCTTGATTTAACATTTTTTTAATAAGGATAGTGCAAAACTCTTACATTTTTTGGAGTGTGTAAATGAAAAGAAAAAAAGACACATTTTTTTTAAAAATTTCACGTAAATTAAAGGTCACAGTGATCTTGAAATAGGTCGCGACACACCTTCTACCTAAGATGCATAAACTGGCCAAGTTTGATGATTCTAAGTTTAAAAGTTTTCTAGTTATGGACCGGAAAGGATTTTTCCATATTTGGCTATAACTTTTTAATTATAGGTCAGAGCGACCTACTTTTTGTGCACGACACAACTTCTACCCAAGATGTATCAGCTGACAAAGTTTGATAACTCTAGGCCTTACAGTATTTAAGTTATGAGCCGGACATGAGAAAAGCTAACAGACGGACAGACGGACGGACATGAAGCCTATAACATAATACGTCCCGTCTTAAGACGGGCGTATAAAAATGTTCTCCAAATTTCTTTTAACCATAGCGTTTCTAGAGATTCCTAAGTCCCCCCTCCCCATGCATAAAAAAAATCCTGGATCCACCGCTAAGATTTCGAAATTTATACTGCTTCAAAAAGTCAATTTTTCTGATCACCCGTTGTCCATCTGTAAACTTTTCACATTTTCAAGTTCTTTTTAGTGAACCATTGGGCCAATTTTAACCACACTTGGTACAACGCATTCATGAGTGTTTAAAGTATCCTGGATCCACCGCTAAGATTTCGAAATTTATACTGCTTCAAAAAGTCAATTTTTCTGATCACCCGTTGTCCATCTGTAAACTTTTCACATTTTCAAGTTCTTTTTAAGAGCCATTGGGCCAATTTTAACCACACTTGGTACAACGCATTCATGAGTGTTTAAAGTATCAAGTCCCCCCCCCCCAACCCAACCCAACTTTACGTTTTGGGGTACCCATCTCTTATCCGCAACTTCTTTTATGCCACTGATTGAAATTTAATGAATCTTACAAAGAATCTTTGTTACATATTGTCATTGTGCGACTCCTATTTTACTTTTTGATCTTACATTTATTTCTTACATTTATTTCGGATTTCCCAGAGAAAAGCATGGACTTTGCCATTATAATCATATGGGAAGCGGGGGTATCATTTTGTGAACTCAATGCTCACAATACCTCTTGTTTTATTTACAGATTTATAGCCCTTAAAACTTACAAAAAATAATTATTAACCACCCATTTTTGATAAGCATGCAACCTTTGGCATTGGGGGAGGGAGTACATCAATTACTGGAAGGGGGGTACCCATCTTTTATCCGCAACTCCTCGTATCTTTATTTCATAATATCATTGTGCACATCCTATTATGCGCCTTTATCGATAGATCGGGTACATATTGTTTTTGTCCTGTCCTGTTTTGTGTTTTGTCAACTTGATCCCTCGTCATAACTTTTGAACCGTTGGAGATAAGTTCTTTCAAATGACACCAAGGTCAACGACATGTTCTTATGACCTAAACTGTGACCTATATGCTAAAATTAGCTTTTTTGAACTTTGTTGCCGCCCGGCGCATAGTCACAAACACATCTTGCTATACGCCCGGGTCGATAGATCGGGGCGTATATTGTTTTTGTCCTGTCTACCTGTTTGTCTTTCTATTGTCAACTTTAACCTTCGCCATAACTTTTGAACCGTGAAAGATAGAGACTTCATATTTATTATGCAAATTTCAATTAAGCTCTTTCAAATGTCACCAAGGTCAATGACCTTGTGATCTTGACCTTTATGCTAATAATAGCTTTTCCGAACTTTGTTGCCACCGGGCGCATGGTGTTTCACAAACACATCTTGCTTTTCTTTTTGATCTGGCGCTTAAAAGGGCTGGGGGTTGTGGCCATTTTTAGACTATTTGGACCTCTTTTAAGAAGAGCTCTATATAAAGATATACAAAAATGTTCAAATTTTAAAATGTATGCAATTTTTCTTTGCCAAATGATAGTTGACAGCTTAAGATATCATCTCTAAAAAAATTAAGGTAAATCTGGTGGTTAATTTGTGATTAATTTGTTGACTCCTCAGCCTCCTTAATTCGGGTTTTCCCACAGGCACCTGAAGTATGGATAATACCCCCCCCCCCTTTTTTGTTAATAAAAAAAAATGTAAGAGTGTATAATATCTCAAAAATTTAAAATTTCCCCGTCAAACACATCTATATGTCGTTATATAAAAAGCAGATTGTACTTTTTCCCGTTTAAATTTTTATCCAAATTCGGTATAATAAAAATACACGTATTTTGAGATAATATACACTCTTACATTTTTTTTTCATTAACAAAAAGGGGGGTATTATTCCATACTTCAGGTGCCTGTGGTTTTCCCAGAGCGAAACATGTACTTTGTCATTATAATCGTATGGGAGGCGGGTATCATTCAGTGAGCTCAGTGCTCACAGTACCTCTAGTTAAAATTATTTTTTTAATCAACTTTTCATGATAAAAAAGAAAATTAATAGGTATCCTTTCTATCAGATGCCATTTCTCCTCAGTCTTATCGAAGTACATCGTAAATCATGTAAATCATTTTGAGTCTTTGCCTCAATCCAGTTTATAAAAATCTGCATAACTGACACATTTCTAAAGAATATTTTTATGCGCCCGGATCGATAGATCCAGGGCGTATATTGTTTTTGTCCTGTCTGTCTGTTTGTCTCGAACTTTAACCTTCACCATAACTTTTGAACCATGAAAGATAGAGACTTCATATTTGGTATGCATACTCCACTAATAAAGTTATTTCAAATGACACCAAGGTCAATGACCTTGTGACCGTAACTGTGGCCTATATGCTAAAAATAACTTTTTTCCTGCAAACTTTAACCTTCGCCATAACTTTGGAACCATGAAAGACAGAGACTTCATATTTGGTGTGCATACTCCACTAATCAGGTTCTTTCAAATGACATCAAGATCAATGACCTTGACTGTGACCTATATGTTAAAAATAGCTTTTTGCCTCAATCCAGTTTTGTTGCTGCATAAATGACACATTTCACAAACACATTTTTTCTTCAATTTTTAGAACGCACAAGTTATTATAATGACTGAATATAATAATATTACAAAAACTATCGGCAATCTTTTACGGCCCTTTCATTGTTATAGTATTATGTATCCATGGTGGCATACATGTAAATTGGCATTCCATATAAAACTGTGACGATTCAATTCTCAGACAAACAACCTTTGTTTTTGGATACTATATTCAGATGAATAAAAAGAAATGGACCCAGATTTTTACATTATTGAAACTTATGAAGGGAGTATACATTATGTGCTTTAATATCCTGAAACATGATTCCCATTTATCAGCTTATTATCAAAGCTTTAAAACTCTTTTATACTTGCCAATCTTGCTTTTTCATAAAGTCTTTTACTGTTGAAATTTATGGCTCGCTAAAGGAACTTTAATTTGCAACAAACATTGGTTTTGGATTTCTTCTTCCATCTTTATATTAAGGGATTACTTTACTTTTTGAAAAGTTTTCTAAAATCCCTCAGTACTCTTGCAATACATTATTGTAAGAAGAAAGAAGACATTGAACAACTTAGTTTATTTATTTTCAGAATTTTAATCCCCTTAATTTTAAATAAAATGATTACCCCATAATCATTATGTCCATCTTTATAACAAAACTAATTGCTCCATGGAACATTTTGTATAACATGATATTTGGGAACAGTGTCAAACATATTGAGTGAATCAAGAGATAATTCAAAAAAGTCCAAAGGCCACAACACTCACTCCACTATGTCCCTACTGTTTTTATTACATTTTTAAAAATATTTTCCCCCCTTTTTATCCCAATGAAAATGTTCAAACTGTATTTGCATTACTGTTAGTCCCATCCTGACCCTGAGTCCAAATTTACAAAAAGATAAAAATTAATCCACACAACATTGGTGTGCTTGCATTTAATCTAGTGTAGCTGTGCTACTCTTTAGAGATTTTTTTTTTTCACTTTCCATGTATGCTTATTTGACTTATTTAAAAAAAAATCTGGAAAGCAATTTCAAATTTGACTTTCAATTCCTACCATCAAAAGGACCCTTTGTGCCGACTGGGTCGAATTTTGCTCAATGTATCTCGAGAATTAGAAAAAGTGGAAAATTTTTGCAGACAACAGAGACTTTTTGATCAGAAAAGCTCACTTGTGTCATTGATTCAGGTGAGCTAAGAATTTCTCTTTCAAATGACAAATTTCTTCAGCCTTAGTTTTTCCTCTGTTTCTTTGATGGTGTGCCAGGTGTCACTGTTTTTGCTTTGGTTTGTAGTCTTTTTACAATAGGAGGAGTGACTTCTTTCAGTTTCTTGGCTGCCTTTTCTATGGTGACACTCTTGGGTGTTTTTCCTGATATCTTCTGTTTGATTTCACTTTTAGGAGTTTTCTTTTCAGAAGTATCTAGTTTGGCACTTTTAGGTGTTTTTCCTGTAGATTTCTTTACACTTACTGGTGTTTCTATTGTCTGTAATTTTTCGTCCTCCTCCTGTTTCAATATTACAGTCTCAATATTCATTTCTTTCTTTCCCTTTTGTGACTTGGGTGTTTTCTTTGAATTTTCAGTGGATGATTCATTAAATGTTGGAGAAAACTGTCCATGCTTTTGTGCTGATCCTAAAGACTTTGGAGTTTTCCTTTTGCCCGATTTCTGATTTTCCTTATCTAAAGATGAGCTCATTTCTGAAGCAATTGGTGTGGTCATTTTTCCAGCAGGAGTTGCTGTTTTCTTAGAATCTTTCTTGGGTGTTTTCTTTGCTTTTTTCTGTGCAGGTTCTTCATTCATTTCTTCTTGGGAGTCATATTCTATTTTAATTTCCACCTCCTCCTCTCCCTTAGAAGTACCTTCTTTTTCTTTCTTCTCACCTTTTTTCTGGACACCTTTTTTATCTTTGATCTCTGAAGAGTTCCTCTTCCTGTTCTTTCTCTTGCCACCACTCTTTACTATCTTGACTCGACCATCCTCTGTGACTTTGACCTTTCCATTTGTGACTGTAGTGATGTCTTCTATGACAAACTCTTTTTTAGCTCTTTTTCTTTCAGGAAACACAACCGAGTCTCCGATATCTGTAAATTACAATGTACACTTTTAAAACTTTCATACGAGTAAACAATAACTTTTTACAAACAAGATTTTATATTATAATATAATACAATTTATACGCTTTTATCATACTGTGGAATAACATTTTTGGTACAATTTTCACACATTTCTTATGGTAGTCCTCACTTGGACAAATATTTCAATACATATTACTTTTACATTAAGCAACCTAACTGCCCAAGGAATTAAAAATCTTCATGCACATACTCTAGTAAATTTTAAGCAACACACAGAAATCTGTCCAACACATGAAAATGATCCCAAGTTATCTCCGAAAGTTAAATAAACTGCATTTTCAAGGGCATTAATGAGAAATAATATCTTGAAATCATGCAGGTCCAATTTTTTTGCCTATAATTCAAGCTGCATTAGAAATTACTTATAGTCAAGGAATTGATTCATACCCAGTGACACGTAGAATGGAATGGACATTGAAGAGTCTGTTTTGACTTGGAGACTTTTGATGTTGTCTGGTCCCCCTGGGAATTTCTGTGATAACAGCTCAATGGCTTTCAGAATATTGTCTACAATCTGATCACATGACTGCTCTGTGTTTCCAATGGTCACCATGCTACAGGAAAGGTGATATACATGTAACTCATTTCAAATCTTTATACAGTAAAACTCGGTTATAACAAACTCACTGGGACCAAAGAAATTACTTCGATTTATCCGTAATTCATTACATCCGTATGAGAAATATATTAGATTTATATAGTTGGGGATCAAAAATGACTTCGCTATATCCGTGAATTCGCAATATCCGTGTTTGTACTAACCGAGTTTTACTGTATTGCATACAAATACACATATCTTCATTTCAACTTCTTTAATAAAATCTACATAATAGTAAGTATTTTAATTGTTGTTATCAATAACCCCCCCCCCCCCCAAAATAAAAGAAATTGTTTTGGTTTTTTTTTGAGTACCATGAAGATCCTCTATTCTTGATAATACATCTGGTACTATTGACTGCCTTTGTAACCTCATCTTTCAAATTTTTAGCTTTCAAATTGACCTGAATGGGATTTCTGAAATAAAAAATAAATGACATAAAAAAAGTTACCGGAAACTTGTAATTTCTGATAATAATGACTGATATAAGTCTTAAAAGTTACAAAAGTAACTTTGTACGTATAAATTGATGTGTGAAAGTCCACTCCTATAAGCCTTATACAGGGACAACATTTTTAGTTACGTAATATATGTATATGAGGGCTGTTCGAAAATTATTGAGACATTTACTTTCACTCTATAGAGAGCAGACATTAGATAAATTCAGGAAAATTCATCAACATTTTATAAAGAAAGAATAAAACAAGTATGCAAAATTTCTAATTTATAGGATAATTAGATACATTCTGGTGAAATTATAAACATGCATATGTCTATCGACCTGGAGCAGCATCGCTACATCATTTTGACGTCATGACAGTCAGAGATGTTTTCACATGTGAAACGATCTTTGAGCATTTACTAAATTCTTTCTTCGTTATCATGTTTAATTACAAAGCTCAAACTTTTTCTTTTCTTAAATGATTCTTTAAAAAATGTGTGCTGTTGCTTCATCAGTCAAAAATTATTTTCATTGTCATATATACAGGATGAACTTGCATCATGCAGTGCTTACTTACGCAACGCAGGTCAACGTTATTGATTTCATTACTTCAAAATTGATGGTCGTCTGGAGCTTTTCATTTTAATGTGGTTGAATTATTGGTCAGCAAAAATAATTACCAATGAAAAAACAAACCCTTAAACATGTTTTTGCAGTCTCGTTGTTATTGTTTTAGCAGGTTTGTCAGTCTGGAAAAGAGTTTTAAATAGTGCTACACAAAATTTTAAGTCTCTCGCTGCACCGCCTCAAATTCCATTTTTTTGTCGTTATCAAAATTCTTTATCGCGCTTATTCTTCTTAATGATATCCGTATTTTTGATCAGAATTCTAAAATATTTATACAACATGCAGTCAAAATAATATTGAAAAAATAAAAATAGATAGGTGTGTGTGCCAAAGGGGTAGTTTATCAGTTTATCCCGATAATTTCTCCTTCAGTTTTTTGCGATCGCATTTAGAATAAATTTTGCATAATTTGTATTTAAATCAGAAATGTGCATCATAGATGAAGTTTTGACTTTTAATATGGGAGTTTTTTCCATTTGCAGAACAATTTAGTAGTATATGAGGGCTGTCCGGACACACCTATCTGCTTTTCATTTTCACCATTCCTAAATAAATAAATACTGTAGAAACACTAATATTCGGGAAGAAAAATTTTGTTGATTTGTCATCCAAAATTTTTTTTGTGGGCATTTAATTTCAAGGTTTTTCAAGCAGCACTATTCAATATATACCGGTAGTCATATAAAAATTTCCTTGATAATTGATAACAACGAAATAAACCAAATTCAATCCCCCGCAAATATTTGTGCATTTACAGTACATTACTTATTTCAAAAATGACACCTTTCATAAAGCTAAAACAGCAAATAAAAAGCTTATAAAATCTATGGTTGCTAAATTTGTTTTAAATGCTCACCGCTTTCTTCCATAAAAACTCTTTCCAAGTAGAGATGGCAATAGCCGTATGATGCGATCATCTCCTAAAAACAGATCAAATTCATTGGACAAATTACGCTTGGCTTCAAATGGCTTGTATTCTAACTTCAGTGCTTTGAGTGGTATAATCTGAAATGAGAAAATAAGATACCTGGTACGTTTTTTTTTTCTTTTCACTTGTTACAATTTCATAATAAAATCAATATATACATGTATTACTTTCTCACCGTAAATCTAATGTAATCCTTTTTTGAGAAATGCATTAAAACGTCATCCATGTTTTTATAACATTCTCACATCATACTGGATCAAACTCTAGTTTTCTAACTGCAAGGGCACTTTTAATAAAATGTCTGTACATGTGTTTTCTGATTTTAGAGAGATTCTTGAAGTACATATAGCAACAAACCTTAGGTTGTTTACAAGACCCACAGGGGCTCAGGAACTCCCGTTTATAATAATGTTTTAACCTGGCTATTCTGGTAGTTCCCCTAAGCCTCTTAATAGGGGAGTAACCTAAGAACCTCCTAACCCTCCCCCCCTACTATTTTTAATGTTCTCTGTCATTTCAATTTTAAGGGACCATCCTTTTATTCTTAACCAAATTGGTAAAAATTAAAGTGGCTTATGCATGTAATACATTTATAATTTAAGTACATATACTATATGCCTCATTTCATCTAAAACAATGTTATTTGAGATATATAGGTGCTTCTTTAATTTAAATGATTTCTTTTGAAATCTCTCAAAAAAAAAAAAAAGAATTAGCATGTATTATAAATTAACAGTTTTCAAGTTACTTTTCGGATGCAGTTAACTCCCTTGTCTATGAGCATGTCCCTAAAATGGTCCTCGGTCAGCTCAAACTCGCGACTCGTCTTATCTACGTCTTTGACAAACAGACAGACATCAGTATCAGGGGTAAAAAGTCCATGTGGTAGGTTCCTTAAAGAAATAATATTGCAAAAATTTTGATTTTGTAGTACTGCTTGATTATAGTCGAAATAATTTTAGAAGAGTATTTGAATATCACATAACAGACTTTTATGTGTCACTGTGTCTATCAGATTTCATTTTACACATATATTCAAAGTAATTTACTTTAATTTTAGTGATTTAAGGATACTGTAGATGTACTTTTTTCCACGGGGTCATAATTTCGTGGAATCTCAATTTTCCTTTAATCCGCGGGTTGAAAATTACGCGGATTTCTCAGACTGTCACTATATGCCTTGCATTTATATTAAGAACGCTTGGATAAATTTCCGCGGAAAATTTGTGACCGTGTACATAGCGTAAATTAATACCACGCGGAAAAAAGTACTTCTACAGTATTATTAATTTAAAAAAATCATATTACTGATGGTACCAGGTAATTTTTTTTTGGTAATAAAACTTATGATAACACATGTACATGTAGATTTTATGTAGGGATTACTGTACACAGGTTTATTTTCACCCCGTGTTATTTTTGCCCTTTCACATTTGAACACAAGTTTACCCCGTTTTAAATTCGCCCAGAAAGATTTTTGTTTTAAAGATATTATACTATTTACTTTAAATTTATTTCCAACAGGGGCGAAAGGGGCAAAAATAAAACGGGGGCGAAAATTTCTCTGTATACAGTAATAATAGCCACTTAATACATTAAATGCATGACCTCTAGTTAAAGCAAGAAGAAAGCAGCTGCCAAAGATCAGGTAGTATGTTTTGTGTACTGCATGACAAGTTAATGTTCTTGAAAATTAGCTGGGAATGATATTAGATATATCTTTTCTCTCATACTGTGTTAATACATGTAACTGGAATCACTGAAGAAACAAAAATACATGTAAGCATCATCCAATTTATTGAATTGAGTACACAAAATCTATTCAAAATGATAAGTTTGTATATATGTCCATGTATTGAATCAGATTTGCCAGTTTTATTGCATATCCTTTTTTTTTGGTTTTATTTCCAAAGCTTACATGTTGATGGTCATTTCTGGCATATTGGGAATTTTCTTCATGTTGATTTGTAAATTAATCCTCTCTCTTTCTTGGAGAATGTCAGATTTTTTATCAGCTACTTTGATTAACTTCATCAGACCTTCAACTGCCTTCCGCAGCTGCAACGAAAAAAAGAAGTTACATAAACATAATTAATAAGCAGTAACTATTTACCTGAATAAAGTTCAAAATGTAGAAAAGAAGAAGTACACTATATATATGTTTTTCCCCGAAGATATACTTGAGTTGAGGTATCTGAATCTTTGTTAGGTCTTTCATTTACTGGTTTTTAAAGTGCATTCAAATGTTTGTTAATAGCGCAGAACCACTCATCACTGCAAGCTTTAAATGTCTCGGTAAAGTGAAAATTCTGACTACTGCAGATTTTTTTCTGCAGTAATTAACTCTATACTCACAATCCTTCACAAATTAAATCTCGCCTAAAACTACTCTATTGCAGCAACAACATAATTCAACAACAAAAAAACCTGCTTTGATTTAATGTTTACATTACAGAGAGATAGTAAATTAAACATTTTCAATTAACATTAGCACTGCTCAGGCATTGGATTGGTAGATGTTGTGTGAAGTTAGAGTATCTATAGATGTAGGCCACTTTTTTCCCCAACATTACTTTCACTCACAGGTGCTTGTTTCATACAATAGGCTAGTTTTTATACTATATAATAACATGTGTTAATTATTATATAGTATAAAAACTGTATGAAACAAGCGCCTGCGCTTTCACTATTGAAAATGTTCATTGAAAGCAGACTTGTCGAAATCTGTCGGTCCTGTCGGCAGGCATTTAAAAATTTGTTTGGACCGATAATTTTTAAGAAAAGGTAGGTCCAGATGACTGTTTGAAAAAAAATTGAGCGTAATGCAAATTTAATAAAGGCCGGGATCAGGATGCATAGTTAAAGGTCACAAACACAGAAAAAATGGCCACATACGCAGCATGTTGATAATAGCTAAGTAAATTTGTTATAGCAAAGTCATAAAACTTGTCATTTATGGCAATGTTAAAGACTCTCTATCCCAATAAAGGAAACTTGTTAGATTGAAGGCTATTGAAAACAATAAAGGACATTCTGGTGCTGTTATTCACATGACTTTATCAGCATCAAAATAAGGTACAAGTATCTGATCTGACAAAAGTTTGACTGATCTGACAGAACATTTGACTTTGTCGGACCAAATGTCTGACAGTGATTAAAAAATTTCGACAAGTCTGTGAAAGGCTAGCTGCTCCCCCCTTTTACTACAGTAAAGTGATATAAGGGAAATGTAGTACTGTATGCAAAAAACATTGATACTGAAAGAATGGGCATTGAAATAATTGTTGATTTTTTTTTTTTTAGAAATGCGCTATTCGTTTAAACCAGCCAGATACTAAGAGTTCCAGCAATAGTCAGCTTCAAATATTCCCCTCTACTACTCTTTCATTTCAGAACTGATAGTATGAAGTATTTGAAAATGTTCTACAATGTCGCGGGGTCCTGTCGCAGTCCCAATCCAAAGATAGAGTTTGAACAGTCTTATCACCCCCCCCCCCCCCACCTCTTTTCATACACATCCTGCATGTATTTTAATTTTTGAACCGATTTAACTGAGCCATTCATGAATGACACCATCTGAATACTGTATTATTATTGTTTATTCCCTTTTTCTCTTTTTTTGTATTTACCTCGGGTGCAGATACTTTTAGGGTTTTTCTTTCCATCTTTTAAGACGAATCTCGCTTTCCACTATCCACAGTCAACAGGAAGTTGCATGTGCGTGTTTTTCATTTCCGGTCAATCGGGCAAAATATCAAATGTTTAGAAAATATATTGGAAATTAAATCTATTTTACCAGTCAATTTTATATTACGATAAAAAGTTTTATGGTAAGCATGTCTGAAAATAAAATTTAAAAAAAAATTATTTAAAAAAAAAAGATGTAGTTACAAAACCGTCTGAACAAAGCGATTTTTCCCGGATAAATGACGGAAAGGAAAAATTGTCGATTTAATTAATAAAACCAATACTGAAAAAAACAACAATACGTTAAAACACGTTACAACAAGATTGCCATTTTTCCTAAGGATTAAGAATAAAGTGAAAATTTGTGAAAGGGTAAGGATGTGTCAATCAACCCTCCCCCCCCCCCCCCAAAAAAAAAATGTTTTAATAACTTTTATATGAAATCTGATTTTTAATTAATTTTTGCGTGAAATGCTATTAAAATATATAATTCATGATATTATATAGAAAATATTAACTTCAAATCTGTGTACAAGTACCTTTAAAATGTGATCCTGATTTCGCTTATACATGTAGGTCAAATGAGATTCATATTGAAAGCAAATGGACTGAGAAGATATTAATGAAGACAAAATTTAATATACTAGAGAGATCTGAAGTGCATCTGATTATAATGGTTTAACCCATAAATATTAATATATTATGAGTCAACACATTCTTTTTGGAGCTCCATGCCAATCAATACATAATAGATTAATCAACCTATACAAATATCAAATCGACTGATACTTTTGCATAAAAGCTTTGAGGAAAAAAATATGAAAAACAATTTCCCAAGAATCATTTAAAACCAAAGTCGAAACAAGGCATACTTTTTATAATATAACATATGGCATGAAAATTAATGATCATTTTAGTCATCCTAAACTTTACAAAGTAATAATGTATAAATAATACTTGACCCGTTTCTGGGATGTCCATTTAAATACAATGTAGGAGACTGCTCTGTTATTATAGAGTCTCCGCCCACTGGACCCGTTTCTGGGATGTCCAGTTTAGGAGGCTGCTCTGTTATAGAAACTCCGCCCACTTGACCCGTTTCTGGGATGTCCAGTTTAGGAGGCTGCTCTGTTATAGAGTCTCCGCCCACTGGACCCGTTTCTGGGATGTCCAGTTTAGGAGGCTGCTCTGTTATAGAAACTCCGCCCACTTGACCCGTTTCTGGGATGTCCAGTTTAGGAGGCTGCTCTGTTATAGAGTCTCCGCCCACTGGACCCGTTTCTGGGATGTCCAATCTAGGAGGCTGCTCTGTTATAGAAACTCCGCCCACTTGACCCGTTTCTGGGATGTCCAGTTTAGGAGGCTGCTCTGTTATAGAGTCTCCGCCCACTGGACCCGTTTCTGGGATGTCCAGTTTAGGAGGCTGCTCTGTTATAGAAACTCCGCCCACTTGACCCGTTTCTGGGATGTCCCGTTTAGGAGGCTGCTCTGTTATAGAGTCTCCGTCTACTTGACCTGTTTCTGGGATGTCCAGTTTAGGAGGCTGCTCTGTTATAGAGTTTCCGCCCACTTGACCCGTTTCTGGGATGTCCAGTTTAGGAGGCTGCTCTGTTATAGAGTCTCCGTCTACTTGACCTGTTTCTGGGATGTCCAGTTTAGGAGGCTGCTCTGTTATAGAGTCTCCGCCCACTTGACCCGTTTCTGGGATGTCCCGTTTAGGAGGCTGCTCTGTTATAGAAACTCCGCCCACTTGATCTGTTTCTGGGATGTCCAGTTTAGGAGGCTGCTCTGTTATAGAGTCTCTACCCACTTGACCCGTTTCTGGGATGTTCAGTTTAGGAGGCTGCTCTGTTATAGAGTCTCCGTCTACTTGACCCGTTTCTGGGATGTCCAGTTTAGGAGGCTGCTCTGTTATAGAGTCTCCGCCCACTTGACCCGTTTCTGGGATGTCCAGTTTAGGAGGCTGCTCTGTTATAGAGTCTCCGCCTACTTGACCTGTTTCTGGGATGTCCAGTTTAGGAGGCTGCTCTGTTACATAGAGTCTCCGCTCACTCGACCCGTTTCTGGGATGTCTAGTTTAGGAGGCTGTGCACAACATTTCCCGTTGAAAGATCCTTTTACGATATAATGATGTCTATGGCACGCCAAATTCACAAAAATGAGCTGAACATAGTTTCACAGTTGATAAATTAGGTTTATCGACTGCAAACTACAGTTTACAAACCGTGAACTATAGTTAACAATTCGTTAGCTATACTTTTCATCTGTAAAACTATATTTAACCGTTGTTAACTATAGTTTACGAATGCTAATCTAAGTTTATTTGTCTGTATTAAAGCGTTAACAATAGATTTTGTTGATAAACATAGATTCACATAGTCAAGAGTTGTTAATCATAGTTTCACAAATCGTGAAACTATATTTATCAGGCTTGAGTTTTACTAAACTTCGTAAGTTAAGATTTGATCGTAACCGTAAGTTACGATAAATTTCTGTCTTACTAAACTTCTTATCTTAAGTTACGATAAAAATCTTATCGTAACTCTACGACAGCCTATCGTGAAACTGTATTTATCATATAATCTATGTTTTGCAATCGCAAGTGAATGTTTTCAGTGTTAACTATAGTTTACGGTTCTGAAACATAGATTATTGCGTTACAGAGCTGAAATAGCAGGGAATAAACCATGTAAACCATAGTTAACGCGATAATCTATGTTTCAGAACCGTAAACTATAGTGGTTTATTCCCCGAACGTCTACTACCTATACAAACAGATGTAAAATATAGATGAACGTTGTTAACTATAGTTTACAGTCCGCAAACTATAGTTTACAACCGATAAACCTAGTTTATCGAATTTGAAACTATTTTTAGCTCATTTTTGTGAATTTGGCGTGCCATATTCAGGTGAGACCATATACACCGAATGCAATCGCAACTTCTCGGGCCTTTCCGACTAGCGGAAAAACGACCTCGAGAGTGTTTTTCCGACCTCTGACGGAAAGACCCGAGATGATGCGATTGACACTGAATGTCAGACACCTCGGCCCATTGACATCTCGGCCCAAAGACAACTCGGCTCCCACAGGTCGGCCAATTTAGAGGACACATAGACACATAGACCCAAGCAAATTTCATTGCGAAATGTATTATACTTAGAGTTTACAATTTCAGAATTTGCGAGAAACAAAATGTTTATTGAAAAAAAGTAAAGGAATAAAAGACCATTGTGTATTAAAAAAAACTTCCGTGAACATATTCACTACAATCAAGAAATAAGAAGTGTATTTGATAAACAAACAAAATGCCACGGCGCAATTATCCATTGGATTCCAAAGTACGTGTCATATACTGGTGACAATGAGAGTTAATTACTAGCAGGCATAATTGTGAGACAACAAATTTTCATCAATTGAAGATTGTCACCATCATTTCTTATGAAAACATTCATGAATATTAATCAATGGATTCAACATATTGTACATTAAAATAATTAACATATCTGTTTAATCTCGTTATACCCACTTCCCCAAAAAGTTAACACATACTCGTAGTACATTCATTTTTTAATGATTGTATATTCAATGACAGATCTCATATGTTTCGAAGAGATTCAAGTTTAAGACTTAACTAATGCTCTGATTTTAGTTATAGAAATGAACCAATTACACCAGAGTCTCGTGTTGCAGGAGTTGCTGGCATGGAAGAAATACATTACTTCTGAATGGCTCTTAGTGCCAAGATTAGTTCGTTACTCAATTTGCCATTATCAGCATCTGGTTGCGTTTCCTTTTGAGTAAAACATTCCGGTATTGAGAGAGCCGTTAGATTTATAAATTAAATTCCAGGCTTTTTGATATTATTGGCAACTGCTTTTTCAAAAAATTGGAACTCGTAAATTTACTTACCTTGTCATTCATGTCATTGTTTATTTGCAAAATTATTATGTAAAAAACATTCTGATTGTACACATGCACAGGTTGAAGCACACTCTGATCGAAGTTGACTAAAAATGTTTGAGTTTCTGATTGACAATATCTATGTTGTTTTTAGAGACCAGGTCTTCGAACACTCTATTAGATTTCCAATGGGTACTAATTGCGTCCTGTTATTAGCAGACCTACTTTTGTATTTATATGAGGCAATTTGTTCAAAATCTTAAGGGGGATGTACAAGACATATTGGATCTAGTCTGGTGTAAACTAAGAAATACCAAGAATGTGCTTAATACTCTACTAAACTAGCCCAAAGTTACTCAAAGTGCTAATGCACTAATTACCTAATGTTAGAGACCAAATTAGTAAATAATTAAGTTTATTTTGTCTTTATTAGAAGGAAATTAATCATGTTAGAACTGCGCAGCTACAGCATTCATGAGATGAAAAATGCATTGAGAATGGAGTTAGTTTGATTCATTGATAATATTGCTACAACCATTTGTTTCGCTTTTTTCTTGTCATTATCCATAATTCTTGAAAATTTGATTTTTCATATGGGCGTATTCCTGAGGCCATGTGTTTATTTCGTCCGCCATTCCTCTGTCACACAGAGTTCGAATAACATTGATTTTAGAATAAATGCGACCATAATAACATCAAGACAAGAAATTACTAAGTAATAATCATTAGGTTATATTACTTGCTACTTTTATTTGTTGCATCGCATCGTCTGATTAATGGAAAAACGCGATTTTAACCCCACTCCAGCAAATCGGGAAAAACTGTTCTGTTTACAGCTCGAATTTCCTCGTTAATATCATTCCACTGAGCACGTGGTTGGCATGTGCATATATCTGCTGTGGATAGATGCGTTTATTACCAAGATTATATTTAATTTTTCATGGAACAAGTCTTGATAATTTGTTGGTTTCTTTAAAACTCAAGAAAAAAGATAAAAAATGTCCTAAACATATGTGTTTACTTCGGGTCTTTTTTCTGTGGCGATAGAGGTTATTTTCAAATGGGGCACTGGAAGGAGGATGCTTAGCATTTAATTTGAAAATGTTAAACAATATGCGGTGCATGAAAAACAAAGTGTAACTAGTGCT